AACTGTCGGAAATCGTGTCAGTAGTGGTGTTAAATTGCGTCGTTTTCCTACGTTTGGCTGGACACCTAGAAGGAGGGGTCTTCATTTCTTTTTGTGGCATGATAAGAAAGTGACGTATAGCAAGTGGATTGAACAGAATGTTGGAAATAGAAAGAGGTGAAAAAATCAATTCTGAGGGCTCAAATTAGTCTAAAAATCAAAATCAATGTTTTAACCAAGAGAGAATGTATCGTGAGGATTAGTGGTGTCAAAAACAAAAGATGACAATGGCAGGAAGATAGTAGTGGAGATGAAGTATTTATGTCAGTATCTGTGTGGAGGCAAAATAGAATATAAAAGAGCAAGTTGTACAAATTTTAATATATATTTAACACAAAAGATAGCCTTATATAATAAAGTACTTTAGAAATATCGATAATTGGTATCAAACAATCAAAGTGAGTACGGTACGTGATACATATAAACTGAAAGTCCGTATTAGTAAAAATTGGGAGGTGCAGAGATAAGTAATTTAGAAGATTTTTATCGTTTAAGATTTTTATGTTGCTTCATGAACAAATAAATGAAACACCCTTTATAAAAAATACTGTCAAAAAAACTATGACAGGCTCGCCGAATTGGACAGGTAATTTCGGAAATTAAATGATTTATAGTATCCAAATACGATTTAAATGATAGTTCATAAAATAGTGAATACAGTCTTTTAACATACACGGTTATATATATTTCTTGATATTAGGTAGAGGTTTGAAGAGATCTTGTAGATACATAAAGTACGTGGGTTGTTTATTTGCTTGTGAGGCGATATAAGTGCATCATAACATCCGCTGCTTTGCAGTGGGAGAAAGTCTCAATCTGCTATACTTTTTCAGTTTACATATCGTCAGACATAAAAAGGAAATGGGATATCGCCAATAGATTGGATGAGTTGCTCTTAAGCTTTATATCATTATTCTAGTTTTTCGTTGTTGAAGTAAGGAATGTTTAATTTCTTAACCTACCGTGTAGAACCATCTGGCGATTGTCGTTTAAAAGTGCAGTTATCATTCATGGATGGAGAGTTACGCTTGCGAAAGCGGATTTAAAACCATATTTTAACTGGAAGTATACAGTAGTAGGATTTCGGTGAACTTCAATGACCAATCAGTATAGATGTAGGTTCTGACTATAGTATACTCCGTTTTCCAGATATAATGTTAAATAATATAACTATATCAATTGCCCTACTAGCTCCAAGATATTCAAGTTAAGAAAAATGATGATGAAGTGTAATGTTTAGACTTACCGGAAAGAAACTTCGTTCGTTTAGTGTGTAAAAGACCCATATTCGGGAGTTGTCTTTAGTAAATTCTAAATTTTTGCGTTAGAATTCACAGTAACCGTATAATTTTTCCGTTTGTCGAGTAATGTTCATAAGACTAAAATTAGTATGAGATGAGTCAACAGCGCTTTTCAATAAGTTTAGGAGTAATAAATAGATGTGAAAGTATGAGTACAAAATCGCTGTCGCAATTTTGACCCTGCACATGACAACCAAACGAAACGAAGCGGGAAATACTATTTATACTAGCATCATGAATATATTGAAGGAAGTGTTTCGTTCTCTGTCACTTTTGCTGGTTGATGGGAAAAATGAATAGTTTTCTATGATGGAAACGCCATTCCATCATAACAGTGTAGTGCACTCAGCCGTGACGGAAGAAAATACAACATAGAAAATGTCATTCTTACAGTCTAAATTATTCGAAAATATCTAGAACCTACAAGCTAAATAAGCGAATAAAATATCGTTACTGCTGAATACGATTTATTTTATTTTATTTGAACAAATATATATTGTTACAAGAGTGCGCCAAATATATATGCGCCACACAAAACAATGAGAATTTAAAGAGGAGGAAAAAGAAGGTAAGGAGCGCAAAATAAAAAGAGAACAATAAGGAAGAGATTGGTGTAAGGTAGTGTAATAATAATAGTGGTAATAATAGGGGAACAGAAAGGTACAATCAGAAGATTCCTTTAGTTAAGGAAGATGCAACCAATTTTTACGAAGAAAGTAAAAGAAGGTTTCAGCAGGGTCGCCACTAGCTCCTATTCTGAGCCATATCTGATAACGTCTCTAGCCACTGTGTAGAACCATCTCTCAGACCCCAGCCAGGGAGTCTTGAAGGACCAACACAAACCAGTCCTGTACAGCTTTCTTTCATACCACAAAACCATGTCATATACTGACCACCTCTCCGCTTATTCCAACCAGTCCCAGCGTCGGCAAATAATGCACGACGTGGAATTCTCTGGGACGACATTCGTAGAACGAGTCCAAGCTACCGAAGTCAGTGTTTCAAGATGGTGACGCCAATTGGATTATCGTCTCTGTTTCCGAACACACGATACCGATCTTCTGCATTACTAACATGGTGTTGCCACTGGATGTCATCAATCCTTCAGAGACAACGATGATCAAGCACAGAGTCGTCTAATGTTCTCAACTCAGAGGCCAGGGTTCACAAACAGCGAAAAACCGCTCTCACCGACGCGTTGTAGATCCGACCTTTCACAGCCAGACTGACATCACGAAGTCGCCAAAGATGGCCCAGATTGGCATAAGCCGCTCTGGCTTTCATTATACGTGGATTGACCTCATCGGTCACGCCACCACCAGCACTTATGCAGCTACCTAGATACATGAACTTCTCTACTGCTTCTATCTGTTCACCATCCAGGGTGAGTGTGGGATCAGGTTCCTGCCAGTCTTGTAGAAGTACTTTGCAGTTCGAAGGTGCAAAGCACATGCCGTACCTACGGACATTGATTGCCAACTGATTAAGTGCGGATTGCATGGCTTGGGCCCTATCGCACATTAAGACAATATCATCCGCATACTCAAGGTCGAGAAGTCTTTCTCCAGGCAACAGATCCGCATCACCATTACTTACATCCATCAGAGCTGTTTCCAGAATGTCATCGATGGCAAAGTTGAAGAGGAATGGTGAGATTGGGCAACCCTGCCTAACCCCACTACTCGAATGGAACAATGGAGAGAGGTGGTTGTATGCCCTTACTCTGCCTCAGGTGTTTGTATATAAGGCTTTTAAGATGATAATAAACTTCTCAGGCACACCCTTCTGCAATAGACAATCCCAGAGAACAGTCCTGCCCAACGAATCGGAGGTAGCCCTGATGTCAAAATACACTACGATTGTTGGCCCTTGATAAGTATGACAGTGTTCTAACGTTTGGTGGAGAGTGAAGATATGATCAATACATCCTCGACCAGAACGAAAGCCAGCCTGCTCTTCGGGAGTCAATCTTTCTCGGGTTTTGAACGATCTACGGAGTATGACGGAAGTCAATAGTTTGGGCGCAATCAGAAGTAGACTTATCCCCCGATAGTTGTTACAGGAACGACGTGAACCCTTTTTAAAGATAGGGACAACTATCGACTCATTCCATGACGTTGGTACACTCTACGATTCACTTTGGTAACTCGTTAACGTGAAATTTACTCCCAGCCGTGTGACAAATGTTGTTACATACACTAGTCAATATTAGATGAGTAGAAAACGTAGCTGATCAGTTGCATGCAATCCATATATACTGGTGATCAAAAATAACACTTGTATTGCTAAAAAAGCCCAAAACAAATAGTTATGTCGGTCTTCGACACTGATGCTGACCGCATTAGTTCCACTGGACACATCTAGCTGAAGGCGCTCGATCACACGTCTTCGCCACACAACAAGTGTGTAGTCCGTACTACGCATCCCATGTAACTGCTGCGCAGCTTAGACCAGACGCTTTTCGACTTATCGATAGATTTCCAAATATATATTTAAACTCATTCATTTCTGACTTCTGATTTACCAGGTTGGTATACTTCAATTCTAAAGGTGTAATATGTAAAGGCGATGCCAAACTAAGAATACCTGTGGCATCTTTACATTATTTACTGTGTCAAAAGTTTATATAAGCAGTTGTAGTTTGTTCAGATACACCTATAAGGCTCGTATGCAAAGAAACAGAGAGTTTACACAAAGGCAACCATATCTTGCATACTTTGCTGACAAAAAGAGAGAGCTCCAGAACATTACATACCACAATTAGGAACTCGAACAGTTAACGCAGCAACTAGTGTTCTTAACGAATACGAAATACTGGGAAACATGCAAACCTGAAGAAGAAATTCCAGGAAGATAATTTTGTGGCTAGAAATCATTTAATGTTTTTGACATAAATGAAAGTGCATGCAATTGTAGAATAATTAGAACATGCGGTGATCCGTATAAACGAGTACTGATCGCACACGTACCGATTTCATAGTTATGCTTATTGAAATTAAGAGCATTTTGCGAATACTCAAACAAGTCAACATCGAATGTAACGAATATATGAGGTTGAAGATGGCACAGGTATTTAGTATTTGACAACGCTTTTACCAGTAACACCTTCTAATATAACTCGTACCCACCAAGAGAAATCGAAAGACAGAATCGAGGAGATCAGAAGTTGTATTTGACGATTGCCAATATATCGGAATTGTCTGATCTAGTCTGACTAGCGATTGCAGTAGATGTTGAGCACGGAGTTCCCACACGTGATCTGGTGCAGATGCATGACCGAGCGCCTTCAGCTAGGTGAGTCCACTAAAACTAATCTGGTCAGCATCCAATGTCGAAAACTCACAGAGCTATTTATTTTGGGGATTTATTTACCGCTACAAAGTAAAAATTCATTGCTCTCGTTAGCATAATCACGTACGCGTCCAACGATATATCTCGTTTTCCTCTTCTACTATTTAATTCTTCTTGTTTATAGAACACTAAATGTGCTGAAAGTGAACATTTGTCACCTAAACAAAGTGTTTATGCTCACTTCAGTCAAAAGTTTCGCCTACAATAGAACGTGAGTTTCAAGATTCCAAATATTTTATAAGTGACTGCTATTTGGATAAAGTATTTAAAACAATTCTTAAGGTCACTGGTATTTTTCGACTTGGTTGTCACGGACGCGGTAACAGGTTCGACGTTTTCACAAATAAAGAGTGATTTGTTATTAATAAATCGTATTCAGTGCATTTTTCGACAGTTTTCTCCGCAATTTAAAATTGATGTCAAACAACGTAAACATACCTCGAATAGATTTAGAAAACTTTGAAGATCCCCAGTTTACAGACTCTAAGTATGTCCTAACCAGTCCGAGATCACTTGAAGCTTGTTCACGTTTGAAGATACTTGTAATTTAAGCAATTATATTTGATATTTTTTTAGCCTGTGGATCTTTTGCATAAAAGCAGAGCTGAGTTCCTTGAACGTTTTAAAAAACTTCCACCAAGCAAAATTGAGGAATTGTACATAAGAAGTGAAGAAAAGAGAAGAGGTATTCCTATTATATGTTTTATTTTGTTTAGATAAGCTTGTGAAAGCTAGAATAGAAAGGTGGAAGTTAATGCACACTGACTGTCCAGATGATCCTGACAACCCTCTGTTTGGCGAAACTCATATTATGGGTGGTGAGTCTTAAGTACTTAATCAAATAACTTTGGAAGTTTAGATGAAAATGGAGTTTCACACAGTGGAAGGTGAGACGATTGAGGGTATACATAGTTGTGTATTGTTCTTTAATGCCTAAGTTTCCTATAACGATTGAAATCGATTCCTGTCCACGCTAAGGGAATACACGGTCTATGACTGAGTAATTTTAAGAAGCATCAAAAATACCTCAAGCCTTTGGTTTTCAAAGAGGAAAAAAATTGGAGTACCTAGATGCACTACACAACGGATGTTTTCTTGTAACTTTCAAAACAATAACCTAAAAATCTTCATGCTGTAATTCGGGAACTAAAACTTTCATTTTATTCTTTACAACTCTTATTTTAAAATAATTTATGGTTTTGAGATATATTAGAAATCGGTATGTAAGTTGTGCTATCACATGCGTAAGGATTTTGCCGGCCAAAGTAATGGAATTCTGCTTAGTTTATGGTAGCTTACATGATTTATAATGTTTTAAAAAAATATTTCTCAGTAACTTTACTGAGGCGGACAATTTTTTGAATTTATATTTGGGTCTAGTTTTTCGTTTAGAAGAGTCTCCTGAGAGAAGACTGTCCCGAAATAGTTTACTATAGCCTCTATCTTTTTCTGATCATACTCACTCTGTCGAGGTCCACGTCCTTCCTTAATTAGGTCAGGAACCCTATGCTGCGTCCTTATTCCGTAGAATTTTATGTACGAGAATAGTCTCTTAAGCTGCTTGGTTACAGGTTAGGCCAACTGTTTTTCATATTTTTACTGAGCTCCCCGGATTGTAATTTTACACTTATTTTGTACCGACCTGTAGTGCCCCATCGTAATTGCTGTGCCAAGACTGGTGGAGAGGTTCCAACATTTCTTCTTTTGTCTTAGTAAACGTCGAATATCCCAGCATATCCAGGGATGGCCATACTTCCTCTTTGTTGGGACTATCCAGTGTATAAATGGTTGAGTAACTTGATCATATAATTGCAGGAAATGAGTTCATGTTTGTTCTACTGTTGCCCTTGAGCCAACTATCCAGTTTTCAACCGAGGCTGAAGAGTTGATTACCTTGGTGTCTGCCTTTCAAATGTTAGGACAGGCCGGTGAAACTGCTTGACAGACCATCTCAGTAATGAACTTGAGTAAGATGACCGCAAGATCACTTTTCCCTAAAGGTAGGAGAAAAGTTATTTGACTGATCTTCACCGTATGTGAAGAATAAGTTCAAGAGTGATGAAGAGTTTTGTAGGTCATATCTCGTGGGATCTCTAGTGCTCTGGAATATAGCTAGGAGGGTTGTGGTTTCTAACAATTTAAGTTTGTTTAGGAGGAAGTCTGTGGTATACTGCAACTAATTCAACATCATGCCGTTTACATTTTAGCTTACAGCGCACCAGTTTACATGTACCTGAGTTGTATGTCACTGCCTTGATAGCTCGTATGGTTAAGGTACTTTTCGTGTCCAGAATAACCCCACCATCCCCACAGTTTAGTCCATCAATCCTACTACCATACACTTCTGACGTTAACTATGCCCCTGAGATGGCAATGACACTACGGTATTCTATATCCATCATAGTTTTCAGCTCCGCAATTACATTATGTAGGCTGCGAGCATTTGTGTAGCACACCTTTAATTCTGTGAAGAGCTTTACGTTGCCGCCCATAGTGGTTATTGGGTTGTTTTGTTCCAAAATATTCCTATATGAAAACGCTTATGCATAAGGTTTTTTCACCGTTTCACTTACTTATTTGCGCTGGCCGCCAGCCAGCACTCTTTGACCCACTCTGTCCTGGGCCTTTCTTTCCCGTTCTATCCGACTTTTCTCCATTCTTCTCATATCCGTCTCCGTTTCTCGGCGTAATGTGACTTTTGATCTTCCTCTTCTCAGTTGGCCTTGAAGACTCCATGTGGGGGCTTGCGTTGTGACGCAGTCAAGTGCTTTCCTCAATGTGCGTTCTATCTACTTCCAGCACCGCCTTCTGATTTCTTCCTCCACTGGGATCTAGTTTGTTCGCTCTCACACTAGGTCGTTGCTGATAGTGTCTGACCAACGGATCCGAAGTATTTTGCATAGAAAACTGTTAATAAACGCTTGTATCTTCTAGATGACGGCTTTCGTAGTTCTTTGGGTTTCCGCTTCACACAGTAGAAATACCTTGATTGGTCGTTCTGGTTTACGATAATTTCCAGTGATTTTCATTGTTGTGTCATACAGTTGTTTAATGTTTCCTTCTTGTACAGCCTTTTTCACTGTCATTTTTAAGTCCTCCACATATTTACGTTTGTGAGTTCTGATGATCTTCTTCTTTTGCTTGTTTGCTTATGTGTATCCAGCTTATGCCTTGGCATTTTTTGCTCTTGTTCGGCTGGTATTGATTTCTGCCTTCTTGTTCCTCCTCTCTTGAATCTTATTCAGTGTATCAACAATGATGCATTCCTTATGATGGTGATTATTGTGGCCCAGAACCTCATGACATGTCGAAGTTATTGCCCCTTTTATGCCTTTCTAGTTGTTTTCCACAGTATTTTCCTCTCCATTGAGTAGATGATGAAAGGCCTGGAATCTATTGCTGAGGGCTATCTTGAATTTGTTGAGTTGGTCAGTATCCCGAAGAACAGTCATATTAAACTTTTGTGATGTTGTCCGCCCCGTTGTCCAGTGCTTCTTATGTATCAGTTTCATCTTGGCGACCAGCAGATGATGATCTAATGCTATGTCAGTCCCTCTATTGGCTCTCACATCCTCCATTGTCCTCTTGAACTTTATGTTGATGTAGTTATGGTTGACTTGGTTCTGTGTAATGTGACCCGGTAAGTTCATGTGGTTTTGTGTATGCGTTTGTGTGGGAATATAGCGCCGTTTATAACCAGTTTATTAAATGCACATTTTCGTCCCCTTCTCTAGTCCATGTCGTCCCACCATGTCTTAATATCCGATGCTGTATATTCCGACCTTGACATTTAGGTCTATCATCAGTATGGTCAAGTATTTTGTTGGGCACTTCTCGATGATTGACTAAAGCCTATCATAGAATTGATCTTTAACGTCTTCATTGTTGTCGTTGTTAGGCGCGCAACATTGGATGACGCCCATTTTAATGTTCTCTTTCTTTGTTTTGAACGAAGCTTTGATGTATCTCGGTCTATGAGATTCCCATCCTATAAGTGCATTTTGTGCTTGTTTTGATAGCATCAGTTAAACTCCTTGTGTGTGGAGCATTTTGTTTTTCATGGCCGGAGTACAACGGCAGCTTTCCTGAAGCTAGTCGTTGTTGTCCAACCTACTTCCACTGTGTTTCACTGATTCCGAGCACCTCCAGGTTGTATCTTTTCATTTCTGTAGCAATTTGGATGGCTCTTCCGGTCTCCGACACTGTACGAGCATTCCTTGTACCTAAATTAATGGTTGCTCTGATTGTCAGAAAGGGAATCAGCCTTGTGACTTCCGAAGGAACTCGGCTTTCACCATGTTGTATCATAACTCTTCTAAATGAAGACCTTTTAACTCCAAGGGCAGAGTTTAAACTGTTTGAATTATTTTTTTCTGGTGGGCGTTTATATAGCGAGTTAATTTTCTACAGGATGGGGTTGCTAACCCCATACCCAACCCTCCTTCTTTATCCGGGCTCGTGACCGGCAACGCAGAGGGGCTCCAGATGGAGTTCGCCGTTCCAGTGGCGCTCATTTATTTTTACTGTTGCCGATCGTCTCTTAATATGACCAACCAGGCTGAGATCCTCATGGACATATATTTCGGGTCCAGTCAGTTCTCGTCAATTTTCCAGCATTGGGTTTCATCCTTCAGCAGAAGCAAAAGTAACTTTTAAGAGGCGGCTTTTCTGGGTTCTTACAGAATCCAATTTTTGTCTTATTCTGTATAGCTCATGGATGTTAACTCCTGCTAGTGTTTCTGGAAGTAGTTTGCTTATTAAGGACTTAGCGTAGCTGAGGCCGTGTTTACGTCTAGCCTTTGGCTACTTAAGAAAATGACTGGTCTGTCAGCGAGGTTCGTGCTAACAAGTTGTGGAGTTTTATTTCTTAAAATCTGCTCATCCCTGCAGTTCGATCCGGAGTCAGACTCGAAGGTCTCGCTCTTTTTCCTTCCGTTTTCTTTTCTGGGTATAACTATAGGCCGATCTTCATCGACTAAGATGGTTGGACTGCGTGTTACCTATGTCTGAACACCGTTTACGACAACGCGCAATGCTAACAGGTGTTGGAGACGGTTGTAAAAAAGTTAGGGTGGCCAAACAAAAACGTGGTACCAATCGGTAAAGTCACTAACTTCTAGTCTGAGCCATGTTGGTAGATGCAGACTACTTGGTTGGGGTCCACGTGACTGTCGCAACCATTGGTTACAGACTCTCGATGATATGGCTCCGAATCAATCACAATGGCGTTGGTATGTATACACTTTGTTTTTACTTAAACCGTAAGGTTAAACTTGCTTCATATCTTTCTTTCTACCAACTACTTCTTTCTTCCTGTACTATATTCTTACACACAATCTTTCTTTTACATATTACTTCTATTGAAGTGGCTACTTCTATGAATTTAGTGTTAATGTTTCATGCTAACTAGGTATGGCAACTTAGAACGATGTATATATGTGACTGACCCTAAGTTGTAGCTGACCGACTGACCTCATCTACACCACTTAGGATTTACTCCTTCATAGTCTGTTTTGTGTCGATATGTGAATCCGGAGCTGAAACCGTCGACTCACATATCTTAGGGCTCCCTATAATTTGTTTCTTCTCAGCATGATATTTCATTTTTCTTGTAACCATTCCCACATCTATGTTTTTGTTATCCTCTGCGTTATTAGTGTCCACCTTGACAGTTTCATTCAAGTTCATAGCCGGACTCATGATAACGCTCACTGCTCCCTCGAAAACTGTTCATCTGCTGCTGGCTATTTATCTGAGGGCATCTTTCTAGGTATGTTGAGCAGCTCGATCGCCTCAAGAATTAGCAGAGATTTTGTAGAGCAATATGCTCTCTGATGATGACTAGCATCACCTTTTATTTACAGCCAATGTGAGTCCGGTGCACACGTTATGATACCACGTGTCACAGTTGTCACACTGCATTCCATCCTCGACCGGGAAAAAGCATGCGGGGCTACCACAATGATGTTTTACTTGCACCATTAAAACTTTAGTGATCTCACAGAGAGAACAAGAAAAGGAAATCTCCTAAAGCGCAAAGAAAATAAACAAACAGGGAACCTGATCTCTAGAGTAAGTATTTTTAAGGTCTCAAATGTGATAGACACTGAACGCAAAAAGCTGAGACTTATATTTTACTGTAACTGAACAATCCGACTAGAATAAATACAAAAAAACCATTTCACCTTGGGTTACAAGCAATACTAAAAAGTTTATTCAACGAAGAAAAATACTACTATTCCTTTTGTTTCGCGCGAGTAAAAAATTACACAACTTTAGCGAATCGCATTAACTCAGAGTCCAAACGTTTCACAAAGCCTCATATTAAAAGAATTCTGTGAATTTAAAATAGCCCAGAGAATAGCTATTCATTCTAAATAAGCTATAAATTCGGCAAAACAAACAACAATTAGATGTAGGCAGAGTGGAGTTGTATTGTATGGTTATAATAGATTAAAGCACAACATGAAACATTTACTTGTACCGTAAATGTATTAATTATTCATCATAAATTACTGCTATTATATCTACCAACAGTCAAAAGGCACAAACATTTCATAACTATCATTATAGAAGCGTGAATTATTCTGGTTGTATAGTGTACTATTAGTTAGAGCGGATTGGATTATAGCTCTCAAATGTGGTTTTATTCTACTCGATATTTGAACGAGTTTGAATGTTTAGATGTTTATAACTGATTCATACAGTAATGCTAAATTTGAAAATTTGTTTTGTGTTGTTTAGTTCAAGCAAATCTTTTTAATGGCTAGGATTAAATGATTCATACGTTTTGATCTATCACTTTTTGTCTAGTCTAATTCAATCTTTAAATAAAAATAACGAAATTTAATTGCACTTCATATTAATTAAAAAAAGCCCATAAATTTGTGACCAGTTAGCTTTAATTGTAAGAAATTTCCACTGGATTGACTAATACCTCATTTAATCTGTGACAAAAACACCAAGAGGTAGTTTCTGGAAACTTTTATTTTCAAGCATTACTGCATAAGGATTGCTTACTTGAGATGTATGCCTTCCTTAGTGATTAACAGTAATATTCTTTGGACTTTCAGGTTTGATACTCAGAACTTCTTATTTGGTATTTAACCTTCATCTGATTTCAAGTGACGCTAGTGTGTTGTTGATGAAGAGATTTCTATTTCAACCGATTCTCCTCTAATGGATTGATCCTTTGAAATGGCTTGATAACACATTCCGAAAACTCGTCTTAAATTAGTGATTTTATTATCAATGAAAGATTAACCAGAGGAAAACTGGATGGATATGAAATGAAAGTTACTGAAGGGAAACATTCAGAAGCTAAATTGGAAGCTAACGTTTTTTTAATTTCTGTAGTGAATAAAATTAGAAAGCCCTGTCTTATTTTGAGAATATTAACAAACATAAATACTTCGTTATTAATTTCAAGATTATAGATAAGTAATATTGATCGGTACAAAGTAGTGCAAAACATAATGATTCTTTGCCAGTTATGCACAAGAATATGACATGAAATAAAATGCATCGTGAGGTAAAATTACTTTAAATTAGTTACTACATTAGGACTTGAACATCTGAATTTGAACGATTTGAGTGATAATTTGATCTTAATTTATGAAAGGACAAATAGTTGTTACTAATAATATGATGATAAATAATTATTGCTCATCTTGTACAATTAAGAAATAAACTAGTATAGAATTTTTCTGTAAAAGTAAACAGTGAGTGGCAGATACATTGCCGTTATAGACTGTAAGAGTCTCAACATATTGTAACCGTGAAATTGGGAACCTATCATATTCATGTATTTATTTCTATTAAGCATTTTGTCACTTTCGAAGCTACAAGGAAACAATTATATTTATTATTTATCGTATCATAAATCTTCAGTTATACCATTATTATTTCAGGGTTTCTTTAGTTCATTTCGAACTATCTAAGTTCAATTTTATTTTGTTCCATTGATAACATCACCATTATTTTAAATCCTTTGATATACATCTTAATTATTTCTTTCATCTGTGTTGGTTCGATGTTACATTTCTATCCCATACAAATTTGTTCAATTGTCTGTGAATAAATTTAAATATTCAACATATATCTTGGTCAATTATTGTTATTTAAGTTACTTTGAATTATTTACAATATATGTCTGACTACCAAAATATATTCAGACAGAACATTGAAAGGTGATTTGTCGTTTTCTTTGATGTATTGGACTTAATTTTCAGAAATTCAACTTCTCATTCATCTCCTGGAACTTTTCAAAATTTGGTCAACCTTGAACCAAGTTTATCTAAAAAGTATTCATATCTAATTGAGAAACTACAACCTACGGTAGGTAATGCCAGACTAATCAATATTCTATAACGGTTTTTAATTTTAAAAAAATAGTTGAGTTGAACATTTATTTAAACAAGCACATACTATGGTTTTGCAAATCACGTTAAATTATATTACTTTAAAATTACAAAATATGTTCATTTAAATAGAAAAGTACTTTTTTATTTCCCTTAATAGAAATACATTATTTTAAACTAAAAAGTCATGTATTTCGGAAAATATATTCAGCCAGAATAATATCTAGTTTTAACCGAAATATTCTTACGGTCAATATATCATTGATTGTTTAATGTTTGTCAAGGTAACTTAATAGTTGAATTCATGAATCGATTTAAAATCAAACCACCATGGAAAACCTGCAAACAGTGGACGACCATTTCGTTTTATTGTGGGACTCCTCAGCAGTGCGCATCAACGATCCCGCTCGTGGGATTTGAACCCAGGACCTTCAGTTTCGCGCACGAAAGCTTAAATGTCTAGACCACTAAGCAGCCATCCATTGGTGTTAATGTCTAATTTCAACCAATCCACGAAATTGCTCCACCGTCCAGGTATTGAGTTTCTCTATGTACATAGTTAAGATTTCATCCTAAATTGAATACTTACTTGAAGCTATAAACAATTTACTTATTGAACTATAAAATTATTGAAGACCAAAGGTCATTGTCCAGTTATATGACTTTACACTGGACGTTCACTACACCATACATTTCTGAGTGATCGTTGTTAAAAAAATATATAACCATCGAATAATTGTTTCCTAAAATCCAAGAAATTTAACAAAAATGGATGAATTTCATGATTACAGAATCTTAATTTTCAGGAAATATTTAATGTCACTTTTTCATCAATTATAATAATCTATACTCAGTCAGTCAGTCAGTAACAACGTAGAACTTCGTACGTATGTACATCAGTTCGAGTTGCCACACCACATTAGCACAGAGATGCAGTGGTCGATTCAAATCTCATAGTGGTAAAGGTAGTAAGAGTATAAGCAGTAATCAGAAAGATTAGGCTTTGAAGATGTTATTCAGGGAGTATAATTCAATGAAATAAATTTGGAAAGAGAAAATAATGGGGACCTGAAAAATTGAGAAGATTAGAATTTTGGAGAACACAAAGAGTACATGCAACTGCTTCATTGCAAAGGATTTTGAGCAATTTCATTCAAGGTCTCCAACCATCGGTTGCTATCATCTTGCAGTACAATAATCTATATTCACTCAACTTGATATCAATTAATTGTTCCCCACTTTTGTAACTTGTATATTCATTCTTATCTACAATATTCAATTGTATATTGTTATTCTCAGGAAATTAAACAAATTGAATTAATGCGAAGAAAATATCAGCAGAATAAAATTGATTCTCTATCATCAAGTGGCTCATTATCAAGAAGTTTACAAAACTTGGTTCTTGTTGGTCAGGCAAGTGTTAATTGTTATTTTAATTAGTTTTAACATTATTATTATTATAAATCCGAATATTTTATTTGTTAAATAGTTCTGCCTAATGGAATTCATTTGTTACATTTTTCTTGTTTTATGGAAACATTTTGTGATATCATTATTATGTGTGTTTTTTAATTTAACAACTTTTATTCAGATGATTATGAATTCATGCTATTCTGCTAGAATTTTTGTTCTTGCTTTTTTCAAAATGATAAAGGGAACTATGTGTATATAATCACTTTTGCATTTTAAAAAAACGTACTCCATCCAATAGGTAAATGAACTAAGATCACAAAGACTTCATCTTAAAAAGATTCAGGGGACACTGAGCTTATCTCTTTTAAAGTGCTACTCCTCTGTAGAAATACAGTTGTTCTATCTCTACTTTTATTGTTAAAAATATTCATGTAACCCCTTAAGATGTTTGGCTTTTCAGGTCCTTCTTCGTTTCAAGTTTGTCCGCTTCAGTACTATACTAGTGTTTCTCTTTATGATTAGTTTTCATTTTGAAAGCAAAACAAACGAGTGGGTGATTAAGTAAGGTAATTAAACATGAGGATCAAATTACAGCCTACAAACTCGTGGACATTAATATCTAATAATCGTAGTAGCTCAGTTCCCATATCTACCAACACAGAGTATGAGAGTACAGCTGTTGTTGATTAGTAACTAAATAAAGACAGGCCAGCGAATTCAGAATGACTTCAAGGGGTAAAAACTTGAATTCAATACACTTGGTAGTTTGTTTAAGCTTATACAATAACTCACGGCCTTAGAAGCTCAGTTCGTGATGAGAGATACGGCGTAAATCTAATTTTTCCTGTTTCACAATGTAACCAATTCTTAGCTGTAATATAAACTTAGTCATTACTGTCATAATTCTATCACAAATAAACGTCCATTAAACATACTCATTGATATATTCATATGAATTCAAAGTTTCATTTGAACTTCTGGTAGTTTGACGGATTTCTTTTTCAGGATTTTAAATGATAAAAAAATATAAAGTATTTGTGAGCAGTTGTTCAACATCTTGTTCCTTTTCTTCTCAGAAATCTTTGAGTAATTGTTACCAAGTTACTATTTTTTTAAACCTGAATTTTGTATCTTTAGTACATATTTTTAATTAACCTGAAGCTTTCTACTTAAAGTAATCGCAAAGCTAAACTGAATACTTTACAGTGATAGTAATGAATAAGACAAATTGATCAGCCTCGAAAAAAATTAATTAGAAGAATTCATTCTAATAATTCAAGAATCAATAAATTATTAGCGAATCCTTTAGGTCATAATATACCACCAACAACTGAAGCATTTCTGAATAAGACACAATAACTATCTAATATCTTCATAACCTCCTATTGATTTTAATTTTTATTGAGATCTTCCATTTTTAAAACTTACACTACAAACAAAATATAAATGATTGGTAAATATTCAGTCAATAATTATATTTGCTACCATATAAACTAACCTTTAAAAAAAATTGAATAGTTGTTACGTTGTTGAATGTTTTAGGCATCTAGACCACAATCGGCTATTTGCCGAAAATCTCAACATGATAAAATGAGCTCCAATTATTTGAAAAATACGGAACAGCGTTTAATGGTAAGTTTTATATGCCATTTTAAACTTATAGCAATTCATTGAGTAAATTACTTTTCAAAATGTATTACATTTAAACTTAGTATGTTCTTTGATTGTATCGTGAAATAATAATATTCATAAATGAAGTAACTAGAAGGATTATTTGTTTATTTATTTATTATTTATGGCTTTATTCAATATTATATTTTGGTACAATATAGAATTCTCAGCACGAGGTATTTCAACAAGTTCCTTTCGCCCCCCAAAAATAACCACAACATAAAAAGACCTGAAAATGTACAACTTTTCAAATTAGAGACATGTTTAAAAATACAGGTTATTGGCTAGGTTAACTCTAACAACCTATTCGTCACAGAATATATTGTAGAACTTTTATACTTTTGCTTGCGTGCATGGATTTTAATGTATTTACGTCTCGTTCTATCAGAAGATATACAAGGAGAAAGATTTGAATGAAAGAGATAGTTAGTGTCTGATAGGATAACACCTGCCAGGATTGTGCACACTTTAATGTCTATCCACAACCATATTAATAATGACCTTAAAAGATATATCACACACCTTGCTAACTGCCTTCAACACTCTCCGTAATATAACAAAGTATTTTCTCAAAAGCCCGGTAAAGAATAATAGAGAACAGTAAAAAATAGTAGGTAATTATAAGAGTAAATGTCGAGTAATCTCAAAATCACTCAACCTCTTTATGTAGTAAGTCAGATGGAGAACATGAGAAAACCAAGAGAGATCAGAGGAAAGGTAATACCAAGATAATTGACCTTCAACATTGTGTTTATCAAAGAGTCTCCAATGGCACAAGCATTATGGGATCTCAAAATGGTGTTTAGATTCTGTTCATGTCTCATGCTAAAGTTAACAAATTGACATTTAGAAGGATTAAGTATGAAACCAATACCAACAGACCAACAATCAATACGAGACAAAAACTCATTCATTTCTATGGGATGTAAAGAGGAAGAGATAGGCATACATACAGTGAGATCATCCGCATATTTCACAAAAGTGTTTTCTGTTGAAGACGGCAGATCATGCAGAAAAAAGAGAACAGAAGAGGTAAATAAAGAAGGCACGAAACGAGCGAAGAAATTATTACGTAAGATATCCACTCGATGAGTATTATTTCATTATATACATTAGTGTAGAGCCTTGATGAAAAACTAATTATCAAAATGGGTTTTGTGGATATGTTTAGAAATTTCACTGGTTGAAATCATGAGTCAATTGAAGCCAGACCACCATGGAAAACCTGGAAGCACTGGACGGCCGTTTCGTCCCAGTATGGGACTCCACAGCAGTGCGCATCCACGATCTCGCCCCCCGGTGAGATTCGAACCCAGGACTTATCAGTCTCGTGCCAGGCGCTTAACCAACTAGACCACTGAGCTAGCATCCAACGGTGTTGAAAAGAAAAGTCTCACATTTATGTTGAATTACATAATGGAAGAAAAAAATATTTTTGTAAAACTCAAAAAGTATAGTTCCTATTGAACATAGTACTCGGCCAATATTGGATACAATCATTCAGTTGGTTTAGTAATGAAAATATCCTCTGTTGTATTATTTGTAAATATAAGTTTATTGTCTCAGTAAAAAGTGTTTATTAATTAGTGAATATATATTTAAATTATTTATTGTATAAATGTTATTTATTAAACCTCTGTTTTCGAAGTATATATTTACTGGTATATTTATTCTTAGCGTAGGGCATCACATTCATCACTTGATAAAGAAAGACAGTTTTGGAAACGGAAACAAACTCAAGAACAAATGCAAAAGTATGATGTTATTTTTAAAAAAAAATCGATTTAGAATGTGCAACTTTTTTTAGTCTTTCGGTAGTTAACTGTATCATCTATGTCTAAGTGGTTTTTTATTATGGAGATTTTACATGAAACCGAGGAATACTGGTTGTTTAGGTTGCCCTATTTAGAAACTTGTTAGTAATATACATCAAAATACAAGAAATCACTGATGAATATGGATTTAGACTGTTCTTTATCACAAATTATCAAAAGTTGAAAATGTCAACTGTATGCTTTCACGTTGCTGCGTTTTATCTCTGTTGAACTTTTGGCTATAATAGGAATCTAGAAGTACAGTGAAACACTTGTCCAACATTCCTCCGTTCACTAGCTACTATCAACTTGTGAGAAGTCTATTTTTTTAATAATGATATGTGGTAAAGGGTAAATATTAAAGTTTAGAAAATAATTTGAAAAAAAACATGGTAGTCTTGCCGTAATAGCTCATTGTGAATACTATTTTATGAAAGTAATTAACATTGATTTTTCGGTTTCTATTAGCAAAAAGTAATTTTTTATGTGTATATATCACCCCGCTTACTAGTAGAATGTTTATACTATAAACACAAGAGTTTAAATCTTTTTACAATTACTTTTCTGTTTATCATGTGCACACTAATTTGTGCTCGGTGTAATGATCACATTTCTGTTTAGTTCTTTATTTTCACACAATCATTTATCTAATTTTATGAACGATATGGATTTAAGGACTACTACATATTAACCCTATGGCTCCATAAGAGTAGATGGGTTAATTTTTAATTGAAAGATTGACTTTACAATCAATTATCAGCACGTAGGATACGTTAATTTTTGCATAATATGAAGACAAGACTTATTTTCATATGAACAGTTTTGAAATATGATGGGATGCCTGTTTATTGGGTAATATTTATTCTTGATAACCGTTAATAAAAATAACAACAATTTCCGACATGAGTATTGCAACTCAATAATCCTGTACAGATTTATCGAGTGTTTTATACCATAGTAACTGTTAGATAGTATTTATTTCGCTGAACATATAGTGGCGAGTTCCATTCAAACGATTGCTCAAAAATGATCTGTAATGTCGCAGTTCGGTCTGTACACGACCAATCCTTACGAAATCTGTCCTGTTGATCACAAAGTTGAGCGTCTACTGAACCTTTCATCCGGTTCAGCAACACTGCTGAAAACCTTTCCTGATACTGACAGTAGTATGATGCCTGTGTCGTCCTCACATTTGCTCCGATCTCCTTTGTTTGGCATCTTGATGAGGTATCCTTCTTTTCAGTCTGTAAGCACTTGTTCGTCCTCCCGAATCGTTCTAAATAGAACGTGGAGCATATTTGCAGTTGCTTCTATATCTGACTTCAATGCTTCAGTTGGTATACTGTCAGGTTCTACTGCTTCCTTACCCTCAATATGTCTGATGGCCATCTTGATTTCTTCCGTCGTTGATGGAGTGACATCTATAGGGAGGTCTGCAGGTGCTACTTCAATATCCGGTGGATTCAATGGAACTGGTCTATTTAAGAGTTCCTTGAAGTATTCTACCCATCTCTTCTTCTTTTCTTGAATCTCAATGATTGGTTTAACTTCTGTTTACGTGACCTGTCTCTGGTTTACTGTATTCCCCCGCGAATTTCTTCGCTGTGTCATATAGTTGTTTCATATTTCCTTTTCTTGAAGTTTCCGCTGTCGTTGTTAGCTCCTCCACGTATTTCTGCTTGTCGACTCTAATGCTCCTCTTCACTTGTTTGTTTGCTTCTGTGTATTCAGCTTGTGCCTTGACTTTCTTTTCTCTTGTTCGGCTGTTGTTAACTGCTGTCTTCTTTTTCTTTCTTTCTTGAATCCTGTCCAGGGTTTCGATAGAAATCCATTCCTTATTATGATGCTCCTTGCGACCCAGTACGTCCTGACACTTTAAAGTTAGTGCTTATTTGATCCCTTTGTAGTTATCCTCCATAGTAGTTTCTTTTTCTGGGAGTAGGTCTTGTGAATCTTGAAATTTGTTCTTTTTCGCTGTTGTTAATTGCTGTCTTCCTTTCCTTCTTTTTTTGGACCTTGCCCAGAGTTTCGATAGAGATCCATTTATTATGATCTGAACCGAAGGAGGTGGTATAAATTTTAAAATCATCGGCTTAATATTTAGATAACAGAACAAAAATGATTATTTTCGTTATTGTAACTGATATAGTGATGAAAGAGAACGTGCACAAAAATGTTATGAAGAGAAGCTAAACAAAGTTGAAAAACACAGAAATCAAATTTTGAAAGAAAAAGAAAGAAATATGATTACAGCCCAGTAAGTTTCATAGATGAGTAAACGTAATTATACGAATATATATGATGGTTTACAATCACAATTCATTGGAATTTTAAAGAGATACAAAACTCATTATCGCTATTAATGTTAAGTGGTTAAAGGTATTAGGGAGGAATCTTAGACTTATAAGTTCATACTTGTTAATATTCACTACTTTTAATTTCCAAATTATACATACAGTCCCTTCAAAAATAGTTATGTCTTTGAAAATTGTTTGAATTTGAACTCGTGGTTCCCGTCCATAATCGAGTAATCAGACTCTTCACTTCAGTCATTCTAGCATATTATCAAATCGGTTTTTTTGTCATAGTTCATACTTTTGAAAGAACACACGATTTGTTTTGTAAGTCGCTCAGCATTTTTACAATATCGCACGACTAATGTCATGGATTAATTGAAGTCAAATCTGTACTCCATTAAATTCGGACTCAGTGGTCTAGAAGTTGAGCGTGAGACTCAAGATTCTGGGTTTGATGTCCGGTTCCGGAGTCGTAAGTACTCATTTCTGAATCCCATACCAGGACAAAGTGGCTGCCTAGCGCTTCCAAATTTTCACTGGTTGTTTAATTTGGATCGGTTCACGATCACAATAAAATTCAACATTCTTCATAACCCTATAATGATAAAACTTTTGCATGAATAAGGTCTCCTACCAAGTTATTTAGTTACTGCAGAACGATATGATAAAGATAAACAGTCCATAAGTACTGGCCAAATTTACTTGATTACTTAAACATTACTTATATATTCACTAAAGTATAGTTAGAATTGTAACTGTATGATTACACTTTCAAATACTTTTATGTAAAGTCAGTCAGTCAGTAAAACGTAGAACTTCGTACGTATGTACATCAGTTCGAGTTGCCACACCACATTAGCACAAAGATGCAGTAGTCGATTCAAATCCCGTAGTGCTAGATGTAGTAAAATAATAAGCTGTAGTCAGAAAAGTTAAGGTTTGAAGATGTTATTCAAGAAGTATAATCCCGTGAAATAAATTTGGAAAGAGAAAAAAGAAAGGGACATGAAGAAGTCAGAAGATTAGAATTTCGGAGAACACAAAGAGTGGATGCACCTGCGCCATTGCAAATGATTTTGAGCCATGTCATTCAGGGTCTCTAACCATCGGTTGCTATCAACTCGGGGTCCCCAACCAGGTTTCTGTAAAGTATTTGTGCTCTGACTAATTTGGGACCGTAATTAGTAATCATTGTTCCATCAGATGATCAAAGTATAAACTAAGTTGTTTCTAGAGTTCTGATTGGGTCGTTTTTCAAGCGGGCCTATATCAGTTACAAACCATTGAACCTCTTAAGTTTGACTTCATGTAGATTGATATTGCACACTGATAAGGAGCCATAAACGTAACTAAAACATTTTACATCGCTTATTAAAAGTTCAGCAACATGCCCACTTAATCTCAAGGTAGTATTAGAAATGTTTCTTTAATTAAATGCACCAGGTAGAATGACAGGAAACTTGATGCTTCTTAACCATAATTACAAACTTTTTCAGTTATGAACGTGCAAGAAAAGTTCGTCAAGTTCTAGAAAGAAGGAAACAATTAAGGAAAATGATTGAAGAATATAGAAAAGAACTATACGAAGCTCGAGAACAAGTAAGCCAACATTATCGAAATACTTAACGATATTATTCATATGAGCAACATAAATACGAAATTTTCATCAACGTTTTATCACTTAATGGAATTTAATCACATTTCTAATAACGACATTTTATCAATAAAATAAAAGTCGGGTAGCTAGTAGTATTCAATATACAGCCTGACATAAATACATATTAGCTCAATTTGTCTTTTCAAATCAATGGTAAAGGATGAAAGTAAAGTAGTCGAAATAATTATAATAGAATTGATAATGAGAAAAACTTAAAATTAAGAATATAATTTAAGAAATGACAGTTGAAAATGAGTGAAGAAATACTGAAACTCAAGATCTAGAGAAGGATAATAAGTGAATGAATTTACCACAACGTAATTGATTTCGAATCATATCATTCAACGCTTCCACTACCTGATATCACGTTTATCATCAGAATAAAACAGTCTACATAATAAATAAAATAATATAAAAATAATTCACTTGGTGTTGTTTAATTGTATCTTCTCATTATTATTTAGGACTGCAATTGATCAGTCTCTTGTTGGCATATATGCATCCTGTGCGGACTGCCTCGATATTGCGTTAGGTCATAAGCCTCATAAGCAAAGATGGATAGTGGATAACGTGATGGCGTGTGAAGCGAACGTTACTGGGTTCGAGTCCCGAAGCGAACATCAACTCTGAGATGAGAATACATCCAACTGACGAGTCACAAATAGGACGATACGCGTGTCCTGGTTCCCACTGCTAGCCACTATCCATCTTTGCTTATAAAATATAAAATAATGTTTAATACTTGCTAGGAAATCCATCCAGATTGACGACATATTCTAGATATTTAAAATCCATGTATATGTACTTGATCATCAAATGTAGCTACCAGTAAACCTATTATTCAGTATTCTGAAATTGAGATTATTGACATTAAAATGTATCAATTGAATTTTCTGAAAGATGCCGTGATCAAAAATATTCAGAAGTAAGCTAGCAGTCTATCTTGTTTATTACGTAATAACTGGTGATTATAAAATTTTGTCTGAAATATCTAGTTGAAATCTCTTTAAAAAAATAGCTCTCCCTGTCTCCCAACCTGTACGAGCATCCCATGTACCTAAATTAACGATCACTCTGGTTGTCAGGAGGAGCACCAGCTTCGTGAATTCCGAAGGAACTAGGCTTTCATAATGAGGCGTCATAACTCTTCTAAATGAAGACCTTCTAACTCCCAGGACAGAGTATAGATGGTTTGAATTATTTTATCTGATTAGCGTTTTTTAGCGAGTTAGTTTTCTATGGGAAGGGGTTGTTAACCTCATACCTAACCCTTCTACTTTATTCGGGCTTGCGACCGGCAGTAGATCCGGGAAGGCTCCTGGCGGAGTTTTGAAAAAATGACAGCATAATTAAAAAATACCTATCATTGATCATTTATCAAATTAATCCAACGATAGATACGTTTATCGGTTTTCAGTCATTTGGTCGTGATCTGGGTGAAAACGCTCCGATGAACTTCTCAGCCTTCTAATAATACAGAACTTGTTATCTAAAACGAATGAAGCGTTTTTATGAAGTATCCTTGTTCGATGAGAATCACTCTGATTTTCTGAGTACTTCAGAATTATTCAAAAGAAATTTCGGAGGTACCGAACGATTGAGTTTTATGTAGTCATAAAACACGTGAATATATATACTACCGAAATTTTGTTTGTGAACGTTAAAAACAGTGAAACGTCTATAATTTCGATTCACTTGGTATTGTTTGGATTGTATCTTCTCATTGAGGATAAAGACTGCAATTGATCAGTCTCTTATTAGCACATGTGCATACTGTGCGTATGCTTCGATATTGCCTTAATTCGCAAGCTTTTTGTAAGCGATGATGGTTAGTGGCTATCAGTGGAATCCAGGACGCGCGTTTCGTCCTATTTGTGACTCGTCAGCTGGATGTACCTGAATCTCAGAGTTGATGTTCACTCTGGGACTTGAACCCAGTACCATTCGCTTCGAACGCCATCGCGTTATCCACTCAGCTACTGAGTCCTGATAGCCACTTGCTTGTGTAATGGGGTGAATTTAAATTCACTTGGTATTGTTTGGCTTGTATCTTCCTATTGAGGTTTAAGACTGCAATTGACGAGTCTTAAACAGGACGAAACGCGCGTCCTGGATTCTACTGCTAGCCAGTATCCATCATTGCCTACATAAAGTCTGTAATTTCTTTTAACATTGAATAGATATTTGAAAATATAACTAGTATCTCTGAGTTTGTGCAACCCATCCAACTTATTTTCATTATTTTTGAATGTGCAGTCTATACAAAGAGCTATGGAACGTGTATCCTGTAGATTATCAGAAGAACAGAAAAGATTAGCTTCAGAACGAAGACAAAAACAAATGCAAGTTGAAGAAAATGCAAAAGAGTTAGTTGACATATATTGTCATTTAATGAAATTTGAGTTTTATAACTGATTAACATCAATTGAAAAATCATTAGGTATATCGATAAATATTTGTAAATTATTCTGTGTAGTTTTAGTGAAATGAGCAGCCTATACTCCTTCGTGAGGGGCAACAGGCGTAAGTTTTAATGAAAATTGAATTTGTAAGATAATTTAGTAGAGTTCAACGGTATCAATCACTTACTAAGCCAGTTAATTTTCATGTCAAAAATAAGACTCCGAACTAGCATGGCCGAATGTATGTTTATGTTTTTCTTTTACAAAGAACTATTAGATTGTAAATTGAGCAAGTTATCTGGGCAAGCTACTGATCTGAATGTAGTACTTATTTATTTGAATTTTTATGCTACCTACTACTATTGCTTCAACATTTTTCTCATTAAGTCATGGTGATTATATAAGCGTCAACAAAATTTCGGCGCGACCAAACAAAGACCAATCATCAATATACCTGCTTTTTTGAAAGCATATTTTAAATGTTCTTGGAAGTTAAAAAGAAAATCATCGAAGAATTCATATTTTTATCTCATTTAAATGTCCTTCTCAGTAATATGTTAATCTTCTCCAATTGACAGTGACGATAGTTGTTCATCAAATATTTACTCTCAAAATCGCAGATATCGAACATATTTTTAGTGTTTTACCTTCATCAGAAGAAACTACTATGGAGGAAAACTGGAAAAGTATCAAAGAAGCATTAACTTCAACGTGCTGAGAGGTTCTGGGTCTAAAGAAGCACCATCATAAGGAATGGATCTGTATAGAAACGCTGGATAGGATCAAATAAAGGAAAAACAAGAAGATGGCAATTAACAACAACCGAACACGAGCAGAGAAAGTCCAAGCACAAGCTGAGTACATAGAAGCAAACAAGCAAGTGAAGAAAAGCATTAGAGCCGACAAGCAGAAATACGTGGAAGAACTAGCAACGACAGCGGAAAAAGCTGCAAGGGAAGGAAATATGAAACAACTGTACGATGCAACGAAGAAAATAGCAGGGAAATACAGTAAACCAGAGAGACCGGTCAAAGACAAAGAAGGCAAGCCAATCACTGAAATTCAACAACATCGGAACACATGGGTAGAATACTTTGAGGAACTCCTGAATAGACCGGCTCCAATGAATCCACCGGACATCGAAGCACACAGATCTTCCCATAAATGTCAATCCGCCAACGATGGAAGAAATCAGAATAGCCATCAGACAAATCAAGAGCGGGAAAGCAGCGGGACTCGACAACATACCAGCTGAAGCACTGAAGTCAGACATCGAAGTAATTACAAACATGGAAGTGGTCACTATACATCAACTTCATTGATTATGAATAGGCATTTGAGTGTGGATAGGAAAACGTTATGGAAACTTCTTCAACACTACGGAGTTCCTGAGATTTTCAATATTATCCGGAACTCATATGACGGACTACAGTGCAAGGTCGTACACGGAGCACAGCTGACAGATGCATTCCAAGTAAGGGCTGGAGTCAGACAAGGCTACCTACTCTCTCCCTTCCTCTTTCTTCTGATGGTCGACTGGATTATGAAGACCTCGACATCTGAGGGGAAACACGGAATACAATGGACAGCTCAGAATCAATTAGACGATTTGGACTTCACAGATGACCTGGCCCTCCTATCGCATACACACGAAGAAATGCAGACAAAGACAGCCAGTGTAGCAGCAGTCTCTGCATCAGTAGGCCTCAGCATACACAAAGAGGAAAACCAAGGTCCTCAAATTCAAAGCGGAGAACAGCAATCCAATCACTCTTGATGGCGAAACTCTGGATGATGTAGAATCCTTCACATACCTGGGAAGCATCATCGATGAACAAGGAGGTTCAGATGCAGACGTAAAGGTGAGGATTGGTAAAGCAAGGGCCGCATTCCTACAGTTGAAGAACATATGGAACTCAAAACAACTTTCAACCAATATCAAAGTGAGAATCTTCAATACAAATGTCAAGGCAGTTCTACTGTACGGAGCTGAAACTTGGAGAACTACAACAACAATCATCAAGAAGGTGCAAGTATTTATAAATAGTTGTCTACGCAAGATACTAAACATCCATTGGCCGGATACCATCAGCAACAGCCTTCTGTGGGAGAGAACAAACCAGCTTCCAGCTGAAGAGGAAATTAGGAAAGGACAATGGAAATGGATAGGACATACACTACGCAAATCGTCAAACTGTATCACGAGACAAACCCTAACTTGGAATCCTGTAGGAAGGCGGAAAAGAGGAAGGCCAAAGAACACATTACGTCGGGAAATAGAAGCAGATATGAAAAAGATGAATAGGAACTGGAAAGGATCGCCCAGGACAGGGTTGGATGGCGAATGCTGGTGAGCGGCCTATGCTCCTTCACGAGGAGTAACAGGCGTAAGTAATTAAGTTCATCAGAATATATAACGAGCATACGCCTTCCCAGTAATGATCATAATTTTTACAGGAAATGTAAGTAACAAACTCATATTAGCAAGTGAACTTATTCATGAGTTTGCTAACCATTGTTACTTACAATGTAGAATTTTAAGAGTTTCACCACAGAAATAAGACAATAATAAATTGCATTATTATTTAGAAACTAAGGTATTAGACAATTTTAAACTCAACCACTTAAAGTCAGAAATTAAGTGAACACAATGCGACTTGACCTGTAGAGTTCGGCTGATACCAAGGACTAGATAAATAGGATATTGGTAACTGCTCACTATCAAATTTCAAAATAATAGTAAATTACTTAATAAGTATTTTGCTAGTGAAATTAAGTTCAAACATTAAATAAAATCAAATTAGATTTATCATTCCACGTTTCGGGATACCATATACTACATATAGGAAGGTAATGGTGGTAATCTTAACGTCTTCTGGATTCACTATTTCACTGAACAAAAACGCTATTTATTTTATAAATTATGTTTAACCGTAAACTTTATTATTGAAAGAATACAACGCAGAGAACAAGAAGTACGAAAGGCAGCTGAATTAGCTTTACGACAGAAAGATGAACACATACGTCGACTAATTGAAGAAAAGGAAGCTAGGATTCAGCAAGTGAGTATTGTTTTCATTATAATAAATGCAGCCTTTAATTCTACACATTTAGCTAACTCCTGGAAGGTATATGAGTACTTCACAACTGATTCATTATTTTACACTAGGATAACACTAAACTCCACCTGGTTAGGAGATTTACGAGTTCCTGGACAGTACGGGGATTAGCTAGTTGAATTCACGTTTAAAATTTTCACATGCTTCCGTATAGATCACATCAAATGATTCTTGCAAGTCATCTCTAACAGACATATCAACCTCGCTATTTTTTTACAGTCTGGTTAGACATACCAGCCATGTAAACTTTTTTCAACCCTTGAATTTTCAAGAATACATTTCCCAACAGTAACCCCAGTAATAATAACCACCAAAAATAAACTGAGATGAAGGGTTGTTTGAAGAATTTTTGATAAAACCCGTTAGTTCTGATCATGCGTTTCACGTCCACCATACTTATATTCATTCGGAAATACTTTAGGAAAGTTAAACAGAACTAATTTTAGTAGACTGGCTCTTAAAATAGTTCAGAATAATGTACTCTGATTATATGCTTTTAATAAGCTATAAGCTAGTGACCTAATATTCGTACATAAATTAACTGAGATGTTATACAAAGAACAATGGTCTGATACAACATACTTGTATTAGGAAATAAACCCATGGTGCCTGTGCACTAATGATTGACTTTTCTCAAAATGTGTATCTGGGTTAGAAACGCGATTGTATTCCACAGTTCATAGTAAGATAACATTATAAGCCTGTTACCTATGTTTTAAGTTACTGAACCTCAGCAATATCTTAATAAGCAATAGCCAATTTAACATTAACTCTATTTGGTATTCCTTCTATGTCAGCGTAAATTAGAATTCTTTTCCATCCGAAAATAGCATCTAAATTGGACAGCTCATTATCAATTCCATTGAATACACCATATAATAATCTTGTTTTAAATTATAACGATGTGTTAAAAACACAACTGACAATCATAAAATTTGTATCACTTGCCACACTAATGATTGTTGAGTTCTCTTTATTTATTTTTTAGCACAAAATAATAATATCACTAAATTACAGGTATCCATGTAAATTGTTACAGTGAATAATAGTTGTTCATTGTTTATTTATTTATTGTTCGTAGTCAAGAAATTTGGCGTTAGCAGCTGAATGTCTACGTGAAGAAATGTTACGTGTTTATAATCTGGATAGTTTTGATAAAAAAGTTCAAAAAGTCACACTGATCAATGAAATGGGATTAAATGGAAAACAATAATGATATCGTCGTTTTTTTTTCTGATTGATAACACACAAATATATTACGGATATCATATTTGTATTTCAATTTTACAACAGGATTAATGTACAATTCTGCTTTTATTTAATATACCTACCTATGTGTATACAACTGTCTATACGTAAACTTATACACTGTTCAAATGTTTTTTTCTTCAATGTATTTACACTGTTTTCATTTTGTCACAATCCTGGTGATATCAGCAAATATTCGTTAATGTTGATTGCAACAATAATCCTGAGAAACAATATAAGCCTAATAATAATTTTACCTATTTCAATAAACTTAATACTTCTGGTTTATCAATACAATAGTTTTTTCTTATTATTTCTAGGATGTTTTGAAAACTATTTATCGTATGATTATTGTGATGAAATTCCCATTTACCTAGTTGAAGAGTGAATTAGCTTTTTTTTACGTACTGATACTAGCTGAAGAACCTTCAAATAGTCAGATAGCAGTTTATTTGTAGTTTTCGGGAGGGGAACCTCGTCAGTGCTAATTGTTCTCTTCTTAAGATTTACCTTTGTATTTAAAAATATATAGACAGATATATAGATAATAAATAAGATTTACGGTGAATTTCTATAGGTAATCTCTGTCAAAACTATCAACAACTAGGAATCATTCTGTACATCCAAGAAAATATGTCTTACAGAATCTTAATTCATAATGATTACATCGCCTAGTGAAACTAAGCAATGATCCTGATTTAAACGAGTAAGTTATCTGAAACTTGGCACTACATAAAAACACACTTTCGGTCTATCGATTGAGTCCTTTTTCCTGAACATCGTCTATGCAATCGGAAACATTTTTCCTGATCACTTGTTTTTTAGTAAAAATTAGTTTGAAAAATTGTTATTGCACAACTTCAGAATTGCATTCACACAATTAACTCAGTCATTTTGGAAGCCATGGCATCCACCAAACGTTTAAATAAGTCTTTACCAAACATTGAGAAAGAGTTTTAGGCTTATGGTTTTTCGATGTTTATTAGATTCAAAAGTCCTTTCCATAATCGGTTAATAATTAAGGAATACTCACTGAAGATTAGTCCTCAAGAAAGTTTCATACTGATAAACTTATTTGACTTGAAAAGTCTTTTATTTACTAAAAAACCAACAGTAGGCACACAATCACCACGCCGCAAATGTACGATCAATATGATGCCGTGTAATCAGAAAAAATGAAATGGAGATATGGTGAGAGGACTGTGATACACGTGTGTGGTTTGTATCATTTGGATATATATTCACCTAATTACGAGTATCAAGAAATTAAATCTCAATAAGAGCATGGTGGATACTTCCATGAATCATCTTTACATTTAATATGGCGAGGAATCAACTTACGTGTATGGCTTGTGCTTAAACTACTGTTGAGGAACTAGTTGGCAAGTGTTCATACGAGACGTGTTAAGAAAACAACTTATCCAAAATCAGCAATTACGTACCTCTATACGATGACTGTACAGCATCGATATCTGTATTCAGTTTGTCTGTATCAATTGAACATACAATCAGTGTGACGATCAAAGGAATCACAAATGACTAATCCAATTGGAATTCAACTTTATGTTAACATAATTCTGTAGCGAATATGCATTGAATGTTTAAGCAATTGACCGGAAGTGTCTCCACGTAGCAAAAATTGTGAAACCCAAACTCGCCTCCCACGAGATCCGAACCCACTGCTGAAGAGTCCCATACTATGACGAAACGGCCGCCCAGTGCTTACGGGTTTTCCACGGTGGTCCAGCTTCAATTTACTCATGATTTCAACTATTGAACTTTCTGAAATCTCCACAAAACACCTGATTATATTACCTGACTAACGACTGACGAAACTAACAAGTGCTTTAGGCCGAAATATATGTGTATAAATAACATATTTTTTTACTAAATACTATCTTGTTCACATTGTCATTTAACTAGTCGTCAATCAATTTACAAAACATGATCTATTTATGTAAGAAAGTTTCCAAATTGAATGACAAATGTTTTTTACACCATAAATTAACATTAAAAGATGTCAGCTTAATTAAAGCCTAAATGTGTTCTTCTTACGGTTGTACAATTAAAAAACATGAATTTTTTTGCTCAATTAAAAAAACATAAGTATTGCAAACTTTGTCTATAGGTTGAAATTTCTTAAAAAAAGAATATATTATATTTGCACGAAATCTAAATTGTTACAAACTTGTGACGACATTTATTCCACTGATTCCTTCATGAACAATGCAAATATTGAAGATAGAAGCGATAATTTAAACAAAATGGCATAATAAAGGACAACTTTATACACGGGAGTTACATGAAAAAAAGAAATCAATAAGAAAAGAAATTAATTCGTTCTTACAAGAAGATATACTGTGAAAGTAGTTTTAAAGCTTTTTGATTTCTTGGAATTTTCAACTGAGTGTTGCGGCATGCGTATTATTTATATAGTTGACCGGAGAGTAAAATTATGCATTTAAGTTTTTCAAATTACATACCAGGAAACATGATGAGTGGTTCACCTTTTGATGATACACATTGAATAAATCCACCTTCCGCATTAGTGGCGGTGCATTCATTTATCTGATTTGAAGGATAATTACTGACGGGGCAACGTGTGTCAACTAATACGGACAAATTAGAAGTTTGACTTAATGCATGAATAATAGAGGCAGATGTGACCATCGAATTACTAGATACATGATTTAGATTATTTGTTCCAATATTTTCATTAGAAACGAAAGTCGGGACAGATGTGGCTAGAGATGAAACTGGAGTTATGTAGGTGAGAGAGGTTTGAAGGGAATCAGAATGATTTCCAAATACATCAATGCTAGAATCTGCATTAGATTGGGGAGTAACTTCGGGTGTAGAAGATGAAGAAACTAAGGAAGTTAAATCATTTCCACCAATTAGATTTACAGTAGAAGCATCTTTGGGATTAGTTGACATATCAAGCAGATGTTCGTTAGAACTAACTGATTCTTTAGTAATACTTTCAGAATCATCATTAATGCTTGATTTAGACAAAGTCAAACCTCGACGACGAAAGACAGAGAGATGACTGCCTCCAGTTACAAGTTGCTTATAAACGGGGCATGATTTCCTGAAATTAAAAAAGGATGCGTTATTAACAAAAATAAGAGTATCATGAAATTTTACTTAGACAATATGCAGATAGTTTCTTATTTTCATTTAAACTATGATGCCATCGGGAATTTGGTGCACCAGAGGCGTAAAACACTTAGACTTACATTTTCGTAAATACTAAGTTTGCGTGCTCCAATGGTAATATCCCTCTCGCCGGGGAAATACAACTAATACCTTGACGTAGTGATGGGGCATGGCCAAAAATACCTCTTTCTTTAGTTCTTGCTTTAAACGCTAGGTTAATTGGGAAACAGTGAAGCAGAGGCATCATGGTCTGAGGGCGACCGTTCATTCAGGGATAGATGGTATTAGGGTTTTCCCCTTGAAAAACTCGCATCTCCATGGTTGCTAGCTTCCCTCCACGGGAGGAAGAGGAGATCGGAAAAGGTTAATCACATGGATTCTTGTAGGCAGTAAGGTTTGAAAATTACTGACCCAACACACCAAAATCTACACCATAAAAATCCATATGTGGCCGGCTGTAAGCAAATATTCCTTGGACTTTGTGTTCGCGTTGGAAAGTCATAAAGACTATCTCTAACCCATTTTCACCTTTAGATTTCTTAAGTATTCTTTAGCTTTGTGGGCAACGAGGAAGTAACAGATTCCCTCATATCTTTAAGAAATATTTGAGGTAAATGTGTCAACAATTGAAACACTTGTTTAGTTTTTCCTTTTCCTTCGACTTCTTTCACAAGTAACACCAGTTTCGACATTTCGATCACACAAACGTTATCGCACGCTCTTTGGAACACCGCTTCGAAGTACATAATTGGGTTTTAAATATGTAAACACATATAAAGTCGAATCGGTGAACTTGAGACAGAATTAAGAACTGAAACTGGTGTTAGTCATAATTAACGTCTTCCATTTTCAGTTAACTTCAAAATAGACATTATTTCAGAAATAACTATTTAGATCACTTTTAACAGGAGACTAACTTATTCAAAATATGCGGATGAGTCTTATTTGATTTGGATATAGAATCTTCTAAACATATTGGAGAGCGCAGAAGCGCTCATCTACCTCCTAATGCAGAATGTTGCTTTAGGATTGGTCTGTGTCAGGCCGATCATAAGCGATGATGGTAGTTAGGTGTGTTGATTAGTTTATCTATTTCCATAAACCCCGCCAGCTTTGAGGGGCTGTTGGCACGTGTTCATAAAAATCCCTTAGCTTTTACCGAATGGTCTAGCTTGTGGCATAGACGAGATGTTTATTTTTCAAAGGATGGGTAAGTATGATATACAGCAACCCAACGTGTGCCATCGCAATGCCGTGAAACGTAGTTTGGGATGGTGGACCAAAATGAAAGCTACTAGTATTAGACTATAGGTGTCTTTGAAGCAGCTTTCTCAAGTCACTGCCTAGCTTGATAAACAATGCTACCCGGCATAAAATTAGGCTGAGCTAGAGAAGGGCAAACAAGCAGGTGGCATTAGTCCATGAAGATATTGACTGTTTGACTGACCCATGTAGACAGGTGTAGATCGTTTGGTTGGGGTCGACGCAGTTATCGCGACTAATGGTTAGATGCTTCAGGTGATATAGCTCAAAATTACAAGTGGGTCAGGTGCGTTGTATTTGCCTTCTTTTAGATCTTAAGTTTCTAAATTACCTTACAAAAGGATCCCCTCTTTTTTCTTCTTATTCCACTAATCCATATTTTCTTCTCGAACCGTATTATCTATGCCTAGTCTCTTTTACTACTTTAATATTGCTACTACTCTAGGATTTACCTTGACAATTTCATCTCGATGTACTAGTTGGATGTGACAACTGAAGCCGATGAACACGCATCAGGTTATACGTTGGATAAAACTGGTTTATTCTGCAATATGTGGTCTTTCAGTATCACTGATACTACGATTATTTCGAATGTTTTGTTATGTATCTTGTTTGAGTAATCTCCATGTATTGACGCAGCTTGGTAACTTGGGCTGACATTTGCTTCAGACTCCATCTTGATTATGACTGAAAAATATCTATTGTTAAACGACCTAAATGATTATGACTGATGCAACAAATATTAATAGGTTGGTGGGATAAACTAATCAAAACCGTAAGATACAGAGAGCGAAAATTACGGGTGTAAGTTACTCATTTTACACCCACCGCTAAGTACAAGTGTAGATATTTGGTTTTGATTAAGACTTAGTGAAAGGGCTAATTATACTGTCCAGCCGACCAAACTGAAGTAGGTGGAACAGGATCTGAAAGAAGAATACAGCGGTCTTGAATCAATTGACTTAACAACTAAGCCACTGATACATACTATATAGCTGACTGAGGTCACCGAATTCTCGTGTGATCGTCGCTGTAATTATTTTTACAACATTAAGGTGCTTTTAGAAGTAATGCAAATGTACATAATTTTGTCGTTAAAATCTGAAACTTACTACGAATTCACATTAATAAGAAAACTTACAAGTAATAAACTCAGGATTTAGAAATTCAAGTACATGTTTAAAATAGAACTTAAGTGCCCCCTAGTTTAACTTGTCTAATTGGGTTCCTTTGTCGATGGCTTAGTATGTCAGATTCTTAAGTCATAAAAATTCGGCACATTTTGGACATTGTGAGCAAAAATTTAAGTCCGAAGGCAAACTTAGTATTTAAATAATGAACTAGAAGGCAAATTGAATATGAGGAATTCACGCCATTTGTCATTCACAAAATATTATTTCTGTTAGCAACCGGACCGGTACTCATCACTGACCTTATCTCAGCAAGAAATATATATGATGGTTATATAAAAATCACAATTATATACAAACTATTAAAGACACGGAAGGGTGGGCATATTGCTTTCAGTTAGAAGAGTTGATTGATAAAAAACTTGACGGTAATATTGAAATTTGGCGATGCACAAACTGTAGGTGGAATTCATAAAATGACTACAGGATATACGCTATTTCTAAATGTTTTACGTATATCAGTGATGTAACAAACGTTCGTTTCACCAAAACTTCTATGGAGAAAGCTATTCTGATAATAATGAGAAACAACAAACACCTTGATTCCAAAAGGCTTTAAGAATGGAACAAACTGCCTGTCCAACTACTCCTTAAATTAACTTATTTAGTTAAAACCTATAACATTGCACTTGGTCACACAAACACATTTTTTATTTGGACAATGAAATGGAAAATACTTTCACTACGAAGACACACTAAATTACATAGAATACTAACCTATGTGCATAGAAATTCGATCGCCATTTACAAACACGGCCACATGGGCAAGTTAATTGCAAAGATTTGGAACAGGAGAAAACATGTTCAGCAAAATACTTTCGTTTGTGATAAGCGTTGCCGCAGTGTGTACATTTATATGGCATTAAACTTCGGTTGACTTGGGATGCTTAAAGAGTAAAAATAATTAAATAGCAAAAAATCTAATGATTACAACTAAGATGAGATCCCCTCGAAAATCGACCACTTTCTGTTCCAACCTAGATAAACAAAAATGAACACGTATTCAACCAACATTAAATGAGAAAACTTACTGAATGAGAACTCATTTCGCCATCATCTTGATTAAGATCGACAAATGCATTTCGTTTATCACCCATAAACAACGATTTTGCATCATGAAAATTGTAATTTAATCCTAATTGATTGAAGTAATTAATTGAAATAAGAAAAAACAAATAATACTAAGAACCTGATGAATAATCGTAAGTTAAATGCTTGGTCAAATTTGGACTGGCATTTTTGATACCATGAAAAGCGAAATAATGTAAAGTTAAATTTTTAACTTCTTTAGCTTTGAATGAACAAAGCAAGCATTCGTACATTGCTTCCCCAGTAAAGATTGGATTTCCTGAATGATTCTGATATATACACTGAATAGACACCTATAATTATATACAAGAATGTTAGTTCATTTAAAATCAACAAACATACCTCCTTTTCTATATGATTGATTAAAGAATGTTCCGTAAGAACGGGACAAGATGTTGATATTAATTGACAATGACGACACTGATACAAACTAAACAAACAGTTTGCACTTGAGTGGGCAGTCTTGAAGTGATTGATGAGATTTGATAAAAGAAGTGTATTGAATGAGCAGTATGAACAGTGCAATACAAGTATACAATTCTGGCTTATCATTGGGCATTGCATTGCAACACCGGATCAAAAAAAGGACCTGAAAAGTAAATAAATTTATACTATATTGGTAGTACAGAGGAAACTATTTTTAAATGAAATTTAACACCGAAAAAGCTTGTGGATACAGCCAAACATAGTTGAAATCATTGTCACTCAGCTGGTCAAGCAAACGTCACCAGTGATATGAACTTCTCTGATGATCGTACATTTAACCGGACTGTAACCTCTACCATGTAATTTTCCCGTTTACTTGTTCTTTTTTCTTGGTTGCACTGCCTCCTTTATTTGTTTCTTCACAATATAATTTCTCTAGCTGTATTGCACATATTACTTCTGGTGTCCAACTGTGACAGATTTCATAGGAATTATTTAGATGAGTAAAACCATCACTTTATGAGTCAGCTTTCTATAACAGCTTGATATAATTGGCTTCTTTGTTCAAGAAAACGGACTACAAAGCTTAGGGATCTGTCTCTAAATCTGAATGCGAACTAATTCGTCTTATTTATCAGTATGGGATTGAGGAGAATAATAGTTTTTGACTGAAATCATGAATCGATTTATGTCAGACCACTGGAAACCTGTAATTACTGAACGGCCGTTTCGTCCTAGTATGGGACTCCTCAGCAGTGCGCATCCACGATCTTGCTCGCGAGTTTCGAACCCAAGACCTTGAGTTTCGCGCACGAGACCTATAGACCAGTGAGCCGGCATCCAACAGTGTTAGTGTCTAGCTTCAATCAATCCACGGAATTGCGCAACCATTTTCCATTGTCTGAGGTAGATACCTGTTTTGGTGGAGTTTTGTTCTCTGAGCTGGATGGTTTGGTCGTGATACCTGTCTCTACCTGACAGCCCTACTGGTCACATCCCTCACGAAGCTAGTCTCTAGTGCGCACCTGTTGGCTGTCCGTATGGAGTTGTGGAAATTGTTAAGTTAACACGTCAGATAGAGGCACTGAGTCCCATACTAGGACGAAACGGCCGTCCAGTACTCCCAGATTGATTGATCAATTTCAGTCCTACAGGAGGTCGGTCGTGGCCCAGATAACCCAGTGGTAACGTCTCTGACTATGAAGCTGGGTGACACAGGGTTGAATCCGTTCGGGAGCACCAGTTCCTTCAAGATTACAAATACACCTTGCTGACGAGTGCCAAGTAGCACGAAACCTGGCTCCAGGATTTCCTGTCGACTACCTCTAACCATCGTCTTATCTCTATCGAAGTTTGAATAAAAGTAGTACAAAATCGAGTTCAACAGCCTACAGTTTAAAATGGGAAATTTAGGTTCACACATTTGCTTTACAAACTGAAATAAGATGGAATTTCAATCAAAGACTTTATGCCTCTACTCAGTTAGTACATAACTTCACATATCGAATATCTCTTCAGACCTTTATTAAACATTACTTTACATCTTTGCAATATACAGGTCTAAGTAAGAAAGTACACCCCATTGAGTGGTACTTTGTGTCGCGAATAGATAAGTAACAAATAATCAATGTCAACCTACATATTTGATTGGCCTTAGGATCCATTGGCAGACGATATAAGAACTAGCACGAATGGGTGCCGATTCAAATTGTCATAATCTTACACTAGCAGAACGAAAACTCAACACGAGAATTAAAAGGAAGATTTACCAACTAAAGCAGACTAGCAATTGAGTCTAAGGTAATATTTACTACCTTATGAAAACAAATAATAATAAGTTTAGAAGTAAAAATCTTAGTAAAGTGATGTATTTACCAGCCACTGTTGAACATAAACCAGTAACTAAATGAATACGGTTGTGACGAATTCGAACAATCATAAACGTATTCATGGTCTGTGATTTATTATTTATTTGAACACATAAATATTGGTACAAAGGCGCACCGAACACATATGTGCCACACAAGTCAATTGATTTGTGTGGGCTGTGATACTGACCGGGCCCCCAAACCGAAGTAGGTGGTATCTTTAGGAAGCCACGCCCAAAGCCTTTGACCTAAAGGTCTGATCCACAAGGTAGTTGAGCAACCTCAGGAGATGCAGTCCCATGTTAGCCGATGATCAAGTTAGTCCATACGCCATTTGTTCCCTTGGGATACTGGAGCCTATGTGCACTATTGGTTTGAAATCAGGGTTATCCGATTCCCCTAGACGGACCCTCCATATCCACCAACTCGATTACAGCACCAGACATCCGTATTTCGTCTTCTCAATAACCCCCCCGTCACGAGAAGGCAGTGAGTAGGACTTTCCTGGCAGTGGCTGTATACGCGTGGCCAAGTGAGAGCATTTCGAGAGGAAGCACTAACTCTTACCACCCTCAGCCGTACCAGGGCCTTTGGGGGGGTCAACATGTTCTACATCTAGTATAAAAACGATGCATATGTTTGCGTAATAGGCTTAGAGTCACACTTGCTATGAGGGTCGGCAATGGTACTCAGTTACCCAAACCGAAATAGGTAGGACAGGGTTCAAGAGTCATGAAATATATCTACCCCAGTGCAAATACGAAAGAAGTTAGTATCAGAGCTATAAAAACTAGCAGAAAAGGCAATGTTGTGATTCTCACACAGTAAGAAGATAAAGTGATGGTTATTATTAAACCAAGCATATGCATTACAGGAACTCAAAATGCATACGTGGCTATTTATTACCCGTAAAGAAGATCGCCATAGTGTAAGCTTCGAAGGCAACTATATATGAAAGATTTTTAAGAATGGGAACGTTCCTTATGTTTACACAACCGATAAATGATTTTGAGGTTATGAACATATCAAGTGAAAAAGAAAGGATGCATCAAGAGGAATATGAAGGAATTTAGTTCCAAGTCTATTAAGCTTCAAGGCTGTTGATGAGTGGTAAGAACAAAACAGAACAAATGCCACTATTTACCAAAGAGCAAAATAAAATCGGTGGAAAGTAAAACAATAAAAGTATTGGTACCGAAACAAAAATTAAGGAATGAAAGGTATAGAATGGTGCTATACCTAACCATATTAGACAGATAAAGTGAACAAATCTGATCCAATATATATCATTGAAGGATAAAAATTCCTGATTACCAATGTTAGATAGATAGACTCTATCCAATGTACGCAGTTTTAATGACAAAACAAAATAGCTAATGTCACAGCAATCATGTTTAGACTAATTTTTATGGTAACTGGATATGAGGGTGGGAAACCATTTCCAATTTGTGTTTTTACCGTAGGCAGTTCTACAGATCCCTATGATCAAGAAAGCATAACCTACGTATGTTCTCTAATTTTGAACTCACGAAATACTACAGCCCAGAATGCTAAGTGGTACATGTACTTTTCAAAGAGAAGTTATAAATATTTGGAGTCACAAGTAGAGTGAATTAGTGAAAATTGAACAAGCAAGTCATCAGACCACTATGGTTAATGCATTTTCTAAGGTAGGTAGGTAGATAGACGTCTGTAGACGCAAAACTCACGTGTTTCAGCAAGATATATGATGTAGTCTAACACAAGGCCATAAGAAAGGCAACAGAGTTTTACAATAAATCAGTAAGGTTGGAAACGGATAAAAGCCTTAATAAGCGGCAAGTGATGGAGTGAAGATGATTGATGTCCAGAAATGTTAGAAATACGAGAGGAATTATCTCTTCCTCATTGCCCACAAAGCTAAAGAATACTTAAGAAATCTAAAGGTGAAAATGGGTTAGAGATAGTCTTTATGACTTTCCAACGCGAACACAAAGTCCAAGGAATATCTGCTTACAGCCGGCCACATATGGATTTTTATGGTGTAGATTTTGGTGTGTTGGGTCAGTAATTTTCAAACCTTACTGCCTACAAGAATCCATGTGATTAACCTTTTCCGATCTCCTCTTCCTCCCGTGGAGGGAAGCTAGCAACCATGGAGATGCGAGTTTTTCAAGGGGAAAACCCTAATACCATCTATCCCTGAATGAACGGTCGCCCTCAGACCATGATGCCTCTGCTTCACTGTTTCCCAATTAACCTAGCGTTTAAAGCAAGAACTAAAGAAAGAGGTATTTTTGGCCATGCCCCATCACTACGTCAAGGTATTAGTTGTATTTCCCCGGCGAGAGGGATATTACCATTGGAGCACGCAAACTTAGTATTTACGAAAATGTAAGTCTAAGTGTTTTACGCCTCTGGTGCACCAAATTAATGACCGTGATAACTCTTTATCAACTCATGGTTTAGAGAATAGGAGACTGATTGAATTATAACTATCACACACCTGTGTGGAAGTAATAGATTCACGTACTGCACTAAGTCATGATCTGGGGTATTTTTTCTAGAGCACAATGTCGACAGTTATTGTTATGCCATTACAATAGAATATTGTGATACCGCATGCCTCTCAACACCATCAGGTTGAAGTAGCGCATAGTCACTACCCTAAAGTCTTGATAATCAGATAATGATCCTGGTTACGCGGTGACTCTTGCCCTATTTCTTCCAGACATAAGCGGAAAACATATGAATTAGTAATGAGGTGAGTAATTGAATGGGAACACCTTATTTAGTTTTTACCAGCACCGACATGACTGAAGTAAATGTCGTTTCCGAAAACTTAGAGAGGCCTAGTCTCAATAGCTTCATTAACATGATTTCTGACTTACATACTCTAACGGCAAAAAAGTTCCCGCAGATCTTTGTGTGAGCTCTCTCGCACTGCATCCTGAAGTAATGTCTTTGTAGGCCAGGACTGATAAAAATCATGATAGAATTTTTTTCTAAAGTAACCGCTAGCAAGATAGTTATCTAAAGCATTACTGTAACCTATGTGAGGTTAGGCGTGTTTCCAGCTATAAGACGAGAACTGAGTGACTAAACTAAGCAGTTCATAATCATTCTAACGACTGTAACACAGCCAGCAACGTTATGAAAAGCGTGCTATCGAACAATCACTCCTTAACAAAATGGTTCTAAAGGTGTACTGTATCATGGGTGTATCTAACCTGTACGAAAAAGCGACAACACTTGTACTCGCTGGGGTATCATACGAAGAAATGAGAAATGTAAGTGCCCGCTTATGTTCAAACGACTATACAAACTCTATTGAACATAAATAGCGAATCGTATGCCGTGAACTGTCAGAGATATTTCTCATGCTTGTAATGGACTAACTAATACTTCGACTCTTAAATAATATGAAGTAACAGAATAATAATGTTAATAACTAAATAAAAATCTTCAAAGATATCTCGCCCTGTCGTTGAACCTGTAGTAGTTACCGACCCCCTGTTGGCAAAATCACCGGAACGTGTCATCAAAACCTTCTCAAGGAGACGATAATCAGGTTTTTAGGCGAATTCAGTGACCTATTCGTTCCCAGGAATCTGTGTCTCATTGATAAATGTGTGAATGTTGGTTACGAGAGGATATGATTGTTGCCATAGTCCCTATAAAAAATGAGGAGCAAAACAAATTAGAGGATGATGGAAGTGAACAAGAATCAACACGAGATGAAATCCTCTTGTGTACATGACACCACGGGTCTTTTCGAACGTTATGTCGTAAGATTTATCATGGATGCCGTAACTTAAACTCCTGGTATGGAACTCCAAAACATACCTGCTGAAGCCTCAATACTGTTTGCAAAAGACAGTGTATGCTCACTTTCGTGTCTTGGTCGGATTGAATATCCTGCGAAGTGTTACTTATTAATGATTCTTATAGCGATAAATGGACGTCCAAAATAAATAGTTCTGTGAGTCTTCGACAATGATGCTTTCAATGGACACAGCTAACTAAGGCGCTCGGTCACGCATCAAAGTCACATCACGAGTGTGTACGTCATGCTACGCATCCCTTGTAACTGCTGTCCAGCTTGGACCAAATGCTTCTAAACATAACGATATATCCTTATTTTTTATTTTTATTTTTACATAGTGCGTCTTAATTTAACTGGACGAAAAAGGTTGTGTCAACTTTTCCACAACATCATGTTGTAACATGGCCTAGCAACAGAAATGTTGCTACGAATGTTAGAGGTCATTGGTCAACGGACAGGTACTCTTGCCGAAGATTTTTCAACGGATGCAGGGAGTTCTTGTCTTATCTCAAAATAACTCTGTGGACGAAATAACCGCATCTTCAGCACGGATTCTGGATATTACCAGAACCCTAGACTTCGAGGTTTATTCTGCCAACAAAAGACTCCAAGCAACAGAGAATGACGTTGTCATCTTAATATATACCATGATCATAGATGCTCCCAAATTCGTCGAAGAAGCTCGCCACGGAAAGGATCTGTCACTGGACCGTGAGATAATCCTGATTGATGCTGACACCACAATACATATGGTGAGTCACCCCGAAATCTCAAAAATCACTTCAGTTTCTCAAGCTCTAAACTGTCTTGCATGTAAAACACTCCGGCAAACGTCCCCACCGAGCCGCGTTAACGACAACCGTAGCTGGCAAACATAACCGTCCGTTGCAAGTTACCGCTGTGATGATGAAACTTTACTATCTCTTCGACACTGGCTCATAAGCAAGCGTTCTCCATGAAAATTCCAATGAATGTCTGCTTGAAATGGTCATCAACTTACAGGAGGCAATTGGATAACCGTTTACCACATTTAGTAAGCAATATGTTTATTTTAACGTAGGTTCACGCAAACTTGTTTCTATGCCACTCACTGATATTCGACCTGTTAAAACACCATAATCTACTAATCGACATGTGCAAACAGGGGTTGGTGGATGGCAATACTCAATTGTCCGTTCGTGTAGATTATCCCCAGTCACAGTAAGGCACATAATCGACCCATTCTATCAACTCACACTAGATAATTACCTCAAAACGCACCAAACGCTACCGAAATTACGCGTGTAATCGGCAACATTGTACACCACATTACAATTAATGGACCATCAGCCTTTTCGAAAGTGCGCCTACTAGCTCCGAAAATGTAAGATTGGCCAAAAACGAAATCGATAACATGATAGACTTGTGATTCATGTGGTCACTTCTGAAGAACTGTATGCTGACTCGAGAGGTCGTCGATGTGAGTCTCGACGCACAAAGCCATGTGTAGTATATCGTAGGACAGCTTGAACGAAAACATTCATTGACTAGATGGCTAGTTGTCACAAGAAACGAGTATTATGGGACACTGAAACATGATCTGGTACGGATGCTTGACTTGATGCATTCAGCTAAAGAAACGTCAAGTAGAACAGATAAAGGTTTGGTGGCTCTTTATATCTAACTCCATTTGTATTGTGTGGATGATTGTCGTCGAAATACACATATCGACTATCCTCGTACATAATTCTCAACTTAACTCGTGTTAGTGAATAACAGACCTAAATAAGTCAAACGCGAGGATAGATTTTGAATATGTATATTTCTTGCACTCAGTGATTTGAACATGCAATCAGGGAGACGAAATAAAGAAGAAAGCGAGAAGCAGATTGGAGAAGGCATGTGAACTAACTCGATTTAATCAAGCGTTAACCAGTATTTATATCCAGATAAAAATAAGCTACAAACATGTGATGAGTAGGATAAGATGTTCACACACATACGCTCCACTAGAAACAGCCAAAATAAATGAACAAATAAGTGATAAGATCAAGATGTGATTTAAGAAGAATGAATAGATTGGCTTGTCCTGAAGTTAGAATAAGCTATGTGGGTTTAACGTAACACATCACGTTACATTATCCCCCACAAGTTCAATGTCGGTATCGAGGACTTTAAAAACTGTTTTTCACTTACCATTAAACTGTAAATGCAAAATAGTGTTCATTTTGTATATTTGACTCAAAGGTCTTGAATATTTACTTGACGGTAATGGATTTAGATCAAAATAATCTCTTACATTCTGTAATCTAGATTTACAAATACAGTCCCCAGAAACCTAACAACTTCATTAATTATTATTTTCATTGCATTGCCAATTTCTTTCGTTGCGCTAACTGTCTACTTCAAGTTTTGATGTTCAACTCATTCAAATGGGGTGAAGTGGATGAAACTATCTCCTTCTACTCCTAATCTTAGGCTTTCATTATTGCTGATGATTGTCTGTTGTTACTGATTCTCTAAAGTGGCTAACTTATTTAACAAGTCTGAGGTTACTTAGTATTTAAGACTGGATCGACTGCTCACTTTGATATATTTCTGCTGAGCGGATCACCTTAAGTTTTACAAACGGACGTTTAGTGTTCAATTTAAGAACAAAGAGAGTACTAATACTTTACGTATCTGGAGCTGCATTATTATTATTAATAATATTATCATCAGCTTTATTCAATATTATATTTTTGGTAAAATATAGAATTCTCAGCGTAAAGTGTTTCAACAACTTCCCGTTTCTTTCTTCTTGGTCGGTCCTGGCGTATTCAACTATGTGCACGAAACTTATGGAAAAGTCAAAATCACACAGAATGTTAGTATTACGTACCGCTGTGTCTAAATAATCAAAAATTACGGGTGTCTTTATCATCCTCAATTTCATGTAATAGGTGGTGTTCAGATATTCATATTACATAACGCCGAGCTCACGGATGGAATACAGATATTGGTTGCTGCAGACAGTCAACTAAAGAGCCATTCATTTTTAGTACGAAACTAGAAGGAAGTAGCTTACTGTTTAATAGAAATCTTAGACACAGATGGTACCTACAAGTGTAATACCTTTGTTTGAAATATGAGTAAATGTAGTTTATCGCATCCTCATTTGTTTGCTCTTGAGAAAACCTGTAAATTGTTGTGATTCAGATATTATTCACTAACAATTAAGAGCAGACAACTTTATGGAACTCAAGAATTCAATCGATACCATCGATATAGAAGAAGACGAAATAATGGCAAGTTTTGATGTATCTTCTTTATTCACTAATGTATCTGTCAGTAGAGCTATGGATATTATTAATGATTGTTTAGAATCTGATTTAGATTTGAATTTATGATGCCCATTAGATCCATCGGAGGTTATAAAATGCTTAGAATTATGTTTAAGATCTACCATATTCATATTTCGATGCCAACTTTACAGACAGAAAGAGGGTATAGCAATGGGCTCACCAGTTCCTCCGAGTGTAGCGAATTTTTCATGCATTCCCTAGAAACTAGTGCAATCGCAAAAAATGTATGTCCACCAAAGTTATGGTTAAGGTATGTAGACGATATTTTTATTATCAATAAACGGGATGGTCTGGAAGAACTATTTAACAATGTAAACAGCACTTCTCAAAACATTAAACCACAAACTAGCATTTCTAGATTGTTTGGTTGAACGTCGACACAATACTAATAAGTTTAAAATAAATGTTCGCAGAAAATCAACATATTCCGAAAGATACTTGAATTTTAATTCAGCACATTCACAGAGCACGAAAATTAATGTGGTATAAAATCTAATGAACAGAAGTACTAAGATTGTTACAGACAAGGAAGACCAACGAACCGAATTAAATAAAATATTTTCTACTCTTAGGGATAACAACTACCCAAAAAGGTTTTTAAAGAAGATTATTAAAAATGAAAGAAAAACTAAACTAGAAAGTATACGAAAAGAATGGAAGTACACCGTAGTCACACCTTACCGTAGTGAAACATCAGAAGAAATCAAACGGATTGTAAACAAACATGATATAACAGTGTATTTTAGAGCGAATAACACATTAAGATCGATATTAGTGAAAGTTAAGGACAAGTTAGCAAAGGAAGAACAACAGAACATTGTGTATGAGATTCACTGTCATGACTGTAATGCTACCTATGTTGGAGAAACATCCAGGCAATTGAGTGTAAGATTGAAGGAACATAAACAATGCCTGAAAAATCTTTCGAAATCCTCGGTAGATTTAAAGAAACTTGAAAATAAGTCAGCGATAGCGGTACATGTGTTATAAACAAGACACAAGATTAATTTTGAAGGGACCAAAATACTTCAGAAAGGTTTTAACACCCATAAAGAACGATTGACAGCAGAAGCGCTGCATATATGGGCGAACAGAAACAGCCTGAACCGAAAAGATGGTATTCAACTGGCAACTACCTGGCGAATTTCGTTTGACAAGTAAATTTGGAACCTATCTCCTGTT